TCTCCTCTTGTAGTGTTGGGCAAGAGTCGGTGGGGTGCCCTTGTGTCGAGCATATGCCGCAGACCTTGACTTCTTGAGGTTTCGGATTTAAAAGAAAATCTTTAACCAAAGAAGTCAAGCCGGCTACTTGACTTTCCAATGAGTTGTTGGATTCTGCCGCCATAACTCGTTTTGATGATCGCCGATCATAGTGCCTACAATTCTCGGCCAACTCCGAGATGAGGTTTGTAGCTTGAGAAGGGGTCTTGTTGACAATCCCTCCTCCACATGCGGCGTTTATCATCCGCCTATCTTCATTGCAAAGACCATCATAGAAATATAAGATGAGGTCTTGCTCCGAATAGCCATGATAAGGGCAGCTTGCACACAGTTTCTTGAATCGTTCCCAATATTCGTAGAATGATTCATCATCCTTCTGCTCCACGTTGCTAATTTGTTTTTTTAGAGAGGATGAGACAGAGGCAGGGTAGTACCTTTCCAGGAACGCTTTCTTCATGGCCGCCCATGTTCCTATACTTCCCGAAGGAAGATAGAATAGCCAATCCTTTGCGGTATCTTTCAATGAAAATGGAAATGCCCGCAGTTTGATTTGTTCTTCTGTCACACCGTTTGGGCACATGCTTGTGCAAACGACGTGGAACTCCGATAAATGTTTGTTCGGGTCTTCTCCTCTCAGGCCATGGAAGGATGGCAGCAGATGAATGAGCCCAGATTTTAGCTCAAACGTATTACCCTCATCAAGTGTAGGGAAGGTAATACACAGTGGTTGTTGGTTGAGGTTTGGAGCTGTGAGCTCCCTCAACGTTCTTGTTTCAAGAGCCATTGCGGTTGGCTCTTCGGTGTCCCTAGAACTAGAGCTAGCGGTGTATGAATCTCTGGAAGATGATTCTTCCGAGTCGGTGTTAGAAAATTTACTTTTCAACCGCTCGAAAGTTTGTTCTATTTCTGGGTTTTTGTGATATGTGATTTCGTTTATGGAACGATGTTTAACCATAAACTCCACTAAGCTAAGAAAATAGAAAAATAAACACTCTTTATATTTTTGTTTGGTATATGTTTTTTTTTTTGATTTTTTCATGATATGAAATAAAAGAAAAATTAATTGCCTTTCCCCGGCAACGGCGCCAAATTTGACGAGCACTTTGTCACGGTGCGTCAAAATAAATTCAATACTAAACACTTATACGTAGTATAGTGTAGTAGAGTTCGTATCCACAGGGAAAGGTATAATTCTCTTTTTATGAACTTAATGAATAAAAAGGGGGGTTTTGGTTTGAGTGATTTAATTTAATTAAAAACTAAGATGAACAACCTATATGTGTTTAATTCAAGAATAAAAGGGACTTGGCTTTGCTACTTTCCACTTGTTGATATATTTTAGTCGATCCTTGTTATATCTATAACTTATCCCCTCTCGAATACTCAATCGAGGAGTATCTCCAATTCATCGAGGATAGTTATTAACAACGACCGTTCATTAATAACCCTTACTATTAATCAAATATAGAACAACGCCTTATACCGATATAATAGTAGCATTCAATCTTTTTAACTCCTTGATGAAACCAATTGAGATTGATAACCTTAACACAACGGTTTCGGTTTAACCAACAAAATTGATCCCTCTTAAGTCTATTAACCACGACCGTGCATTAATAAACCGAAGTTACTTACTTGTGAAACCACCAACGATTAACCATCGGTTCGTTGATCATTTCTAGTAGTAATTAATGTCGGAACGTTAACTAATCGTCACTTAGCAACCCTCCAACATTAATATAGAATGAGATTAAGGGAAGAATTAATAATCAAGAGAAGAAGTTAAGAAAATAACTCACAACTTTAATAATCAACAAGCTTCAAGAGCAAAACCAAGAATGAAAGTTTAGCTCCTCATGTGGAGGCTAAACATAGCTAGAAAAATATAAAGAAATGCTATTCTAAACTGAGCTAAAGAGATTGGAAGAAGGGATGATGAAATATGCAGAAAAATGGGGCTATTTATAGGTGTTTTCAACAACTAATGCCGGATACCCGGCCGGGTATTTTGACATACCCGACCGGGTATTTACCTAATCAAATATTTTCCCATGTTTTTGTGTCTTCTGCACGTCTTTTGGTCTGAAATCACAGAATACCCGACCGGGTATATGGTATACCCGACCGGGTATTTGCTAGTTTGCAACAGTTTCCTTTGTCACTTCATACCCGGCCGGGTAAAATCCATACCCGACCGGGTTTTGCACAAAACTCAGGTTTCTTCATCCTTTTTGCTTCCAAACCTATCCTAAACTTAAAACCAAACTAACTACAACTTACAACAAACAATAAAATGCTAGAAATATGATTACAATCAAATGCAAACTCACAACTAAAAACTTGCACAAAACTAGTAAATAAACACTCCAAACAATAGTAAAAATGTATACTTAGGCACTAACAGCTAGTGCCTATCAGACGGCCCCAATTATCTCAAAAATTACAAATGGTCCTATGTATCGTGGGTTAAGTTTCCCTCGGCTCTGAAATCAGATGATTCCCTTCCGAGGAGAAACTTTCAAGAATACCTCATCTCCCACCTTAAACACTAAGGCTCTTCGGCGCTTATCGGCATAGCTCTTCTGTCTATCCTAGGCTGTCTTAAGTATCTCACGAATCATCTTCACATTCGACTTGGTGATTTCCATCAATTCTGTACTCTCAAGTTTGGCCATGCCAACTTCATCCCAACACAAAGGTGTACGTTATCTCCTCCCATACAATGCCTCGTATGGAGGCATACCAATACTCGCCTGATAACTGTTGTTATAGGCAAACTCCACAAGTGCTAAATGATTATCCTAACTTCCTTGGAACTCCAATGCATAAGCTCTCAACATATCTTCTAATATCTGTATGACCCGCTCAGATTGCCCTTCCGTCTATGGATGAAAAGCAGTGCTAAACTTCAATCTGGTTCCCATAGATTCTTGGAACTTCAGCCAAAATCGTGATGTGAATTGTGGATCTCTATCGAATACAATGGTTATTGGAACCCCATGTAGCCTCACGATCTCATCCACATATAATTTGGCTAATCTCTCCAGCGTATAGGTGGTGTTGATAGGTAGAAAATGTGCACTCTTCGTGAGCCTATCAACCACAACCCGTACGGCATCATAGTTCTTGACCGTCCGTGGTAACCCTACCATAAAATCCATAGTCACGTGTTCCCATTTCCACTTGGGAATGGAAAGTGTCTGTAATAACCAAGCTGGATGCTGATGCTCTGCCTTAACTTGCTGACAAGTAAGACATCTACTGATGTACTCGACTATTTCCCTCTTCATACCAGACCACCAGTAAGTTTCTTTCAAATCACGGTACATTTTCGTACCTCCCGGGTGCATGGCATACACCGATGAATGGGCCTCCTCTAAGATGGACTTTCGGAGCTCATCATCCGACGGTACACACACTCGGTCACGGAATAATAAGAGACCATCATCTCTTTCCCTGAAATCCTCAACCGGTCCCGCTAGCATGCATTCACGGACCTTCATAAGCTCTTCGTCAGTTTCTTGACCCTTCTTGATCTCATCAAGTAATGTGGGTCTCACCTCGAATCTGGCTAACAAGGCGTCATCGCTAGATACTTCCAATCTAGCTCTCAATGCCCTCAGGCTAGTTAACAATGCTCTCGATGAGCTCTTTCGGCTCAAGGCATCCGCTACCACATTGGCTTTACCGGGGTGGTACTCAATAACTAGATGGTAGTCTTTTATCAACTCCATCCACCGTCTCTGTCTCATGTTTAACTCCTTCTGAGTAAACACATACTTCAAGCTTTTGTGGTCAGTGTATATGTGACATGTCTCCCCGTAGAGATAATGTCTCCAAATCTCCAGTGCAAATACCACTGCCCCCAACTCTAGATCATGAGTAGGATAATTTACCTCATGCTTCTTCAGTTGTCGTGAAGCATAGGCAATCACCCTCCCATTCTGCATCAATACGCATCCAAGCCCTTGGATGCTTGCATCACTGTAGATATCGTACCCCCGTACCCTGTTTGGCACTGTGCAATTAATCACGACGGATATAAATCAGGCTTCGACAGATCGTGAAGTCTTGACTGAAAAATTCGCATTCTTTAGAGAATATGGCTTTAGATCAGTCAAAATTGAAACAAAAACTTTCAAATTTGCAATGAATGACGGGGATTTGGTCCTATTTGAAATTAAAAGGTCTCTCATGCATAAAGTTCAACTCAAATTTGAGCTTATCCCACAAATCATCCGGTTCATCTCTCATCTTACAAATACTGATCTGGCACAATTTAGGGAAAAAAGAAGATTTGGAGATATCACGATATCCGTGAAGTTTAACAGAGCAGGCAACTATGTTGAAATGGCGAAACATAAAGGGAGCTCCATTCGGATACCCATGGGACCTAATAATTCGAGCCTAATTAAATTCCTTAATATCTTTTCTAATTATGTAGGGCTCTCACAATCAATGCACGATGACTCAATAATTCTCCAACACGGGAGTTTGTTAGATACAGAGGACCCCACATCCATATCTAAACTGTTATTTAATTATTAAATCCAGGCAACAGACATCGAGAATGAACAAGTTATTTCTTCTGGGAAACAACCACATATGACTTGGATCCAAGCTTACTCAGATGCCTTTGACGATTTTGATCATTCAGACGACTCATTATCACTAGTACAAAATAAGCATTCTATAACTAACATTTAATATGGGTTGATTTAGAATCGTCATAGTATGATAACGCAGGGTCTAAATCATAATTAATAAAAGTTTCATCTCATAGGACCGGGCAAATTTATAAAATAAAAAATGTATCAATAACGGTTAATGATCTAACCCGTTATAGAAAGTATATGGGGTCATTTTCATAAATCTCAAAAAGTTTGATCTGGCATGGGTCATTTTTCTAATTAAAAAAAGATACTTTCGATGTCCTTTACTTGTAACCCTTGTAGAATGTGTTTAAAAATTTTAACTCCTGCGGCCGAATTAAAGCAGACCTACGGACGAACAACAAGGGTTTTGAAAGGAGCCGCATAGTTACGAAAGCAGAGCTACGGACGAAGCGCCTAAGGACAAAGACGAAGCACCTATGGACGAAGCGCCTAAGGACGAAGCACCTACGGACGAAACAGAAGGAGCAGACCTAAGGACGAAAACGCTCCGCCATATCTACACCTCCGCCGTTTTCGCACCTCCGACGCTCCTTCTTCGCCAGAGATGATTTTTCTAACCGGTAATTTTCTTACACACTAAATATGTATTTGGTTCTTCTTTTTTATAATTAATTCATGTATATATTTCTCTGGGATTTGCTTAATTTCGTATGGGGGTTGATTTGGGGGGCCATTCCTTTGATTGGCGGTTTCTAGTTTATGTTGTTTCTTGTGTTTTGACAGAAAAAAATGACCTGGTGTTTGATTAGTTTGGTAATATTTTTCTGATCTGCGGCCTTGACAGTCTGGTTGTTGGCTTTGAGACTTTTTTTTTGTTGATTGATTATACAGCTCACTGGTTGTAACTTGTAACTTGTGCTACTAATTCACAAGTCAATGAGCATATTCTCCTCTATTTACTCTTGATCCTATTATTTGAGGTGACACTATCATTTTAATGAGACATATATGCTACAATTATTATACCATTATTTGAAAATTTAATTACTTACTTTAACTATAAAGTATGCTTAGACATTCCATATTGAAATACAAAGTTGGTGTACTTTGTTATTGAAAGGGAAAACTACAATGAAGACAGATTGAATAGAGAAAAAAGACAAATTAAAGGAATACAGATTAAAGAATACTAGTATGATATAGAAAATTAAATGAGACAGCCTGCAAAGTGCAAACTGCTTTTCGTCTCTCATCGGCTGTTATTCCAAGTCTATCGGGCCTCTCTCATTGTAGCGAGGCCCCAATGCTTCTTCATTATAGTCTATCGGTCTTCCAAGTCTAAGCATCTCTTTTTTCTGGATGGATTTTGAGGGGGAATGGGACGGTGGAGCGGTGGTGGCCTGTTCAGACCAAAATACTGCTACAGAAACAGCTAATGCCCTGTTTTCTGCACCATCGTCTGATGCTGTTTCAGATGTTGACACAAAACAAAAATGGTATACATCTCATGGGTTTCTAGACCAGGAAAGACCTTTTGGAGCTAATATTACAGCTGAAGATGACCTGAGACCCTCAAAAGTAGCTAAAGCAGCCACTACCATTCCTATGCTGAGATGCCCTTTTGTGGGATCTGAAAGCCAGCAAATGCTTAGCTTCACTCCCCCTACTATTATCACCAGACTGCTTTTAGTGGAATAAACTCAGGTAAAATACTTCAAAGCTCCCAACTTTTTCATTGTAATGGTGGAATCTAGTCCCCTAGCAATGCTCTAGGTTGCCCTTTTCTGAATATAAAGAAGGGTTTCCGATTTCATTCAAAGACGATTTTTTCCTGATGTTTCTTTTCTTGGTCTTATTTGTGGGGGATGGGGTGCCTTCAGGGGAATAAAAAACACACAGTATAAAATAGAATATCTTTTTTGTTGCATCTTTTCCATCTTGCTGTTTTGGGAAATGGGTTGTTCCAATTTTCAACATTTGTGTGCTAATCAATGAAAAGTATTGTATTTTGATTATTAATTAAAATTAGGTAGACAAAAAACTGTTGCAGCCACCAAAAAATTATTGTTGATGGTGCTTTTCAAAGTACTGTTAGGATTCATTTTCTGTTCTCTAACACCATTTCCTACTCTCTTTTCCTTTACATATAAACCAAACAAAAATTTAGAACCAATTGAATTTGTGTTCTTATGCAGGCTATGGAAGTGGAGGGATGAGTGGTGGAGGAAACTTGCATAGAGTATTAAGCGCGGTGAAAAGTCCATTTACACCCTCACAATGGATGGAATTAGAACACCAGGCTTTGATCTACAAGTACATCACTGCCAATATTCCCATTCCTCCTCATCTTCTCTTCCCCATCAGAAAAGCATTTGAATCTGTTGCATTCTCAACCTTTGGCCTCGGATCTAATTCGTGTGAGTCCTCATCTTAATAATTTGTTGAATGCTTGATTACAGGGTAATAGATTACAATAGCATATAAAAAACTGCCATCAGACAAATGTTCCTTTCAATTTTCCTTTCGAGACTGCAATACTGGTGCAATTCTCACTAGAGTTTCACTACTTTTCACTCTTCTTGTTGTGTAGGATGATGACAATGACCAAGTGGATGTTCCCAATGAGCACAAGGATCCAATATCCTGCTTGCTGGAAATGGCAAAACACCTTCATGGACAGCCTCTGGAATTAGTTTTAAAAGGAGATGTCATTGGTGTTGCTGATATCTCCCTTTTTCTTAGTTCAGAGGAGATAATGGAGATGTGTTCGGGTAATCAAATGCCCAGTACAAAGGGGGAGTCTGGATAATGTGAGTTGAGATTTATTATGTTCTGAATGTCAGGATCTGCTTTTATTTATACCTTGTTGTTGGAATAGAAAGGAAAAACTAATCACTCAAACCTCAAAAATTTTAAGTTAATATTTTTTCCCTTTTGGTATTGATAAATCTATAAATGTATAGCTGGTTGCAGAAACAAAGTAAATATGGAAGTACAAAAAACTGGAAACAAGGAAATAGAAATAAACAATATAATTAATGGCTCCTTACAGGTTCAATAGGGCTTTTTGTAGAGAAATTAGAGAATGATCAAAATGTGTCTATAGAAAGTAGATAGAAAGTAGATCCCTGCAGTTCACTAGTTCACTGGTTCTATGTAATCTTCTGGGGTCATCACTTTTCAAACTCCATGTTATTCATAAATTACATGCAGGTATCAGCTGGCCGCATATACCTTCTTACTCTCTCTGTCCCAAATATATCGGTTGTGTATTAAATACCAATTTTGTATATTGTTATTTATATTGACCAGATTTGGGAAAAATTGTGTGATTACATTAAATTAAGTGACTTTGTTTTTATGCTACAATATAATATTTACATGTACATCTATTTGCAGTCTAGAATGAAAAGGGGTAGCTATTAGTCTGGGTATTATGTTATGAGGCATATGGAGACTATAATATCTGTAGTCGTTGATTCATGGATTAAGGTGATGGAATTTTAGATTTGTGCTTCATCAAATTTATACTTATTACGCTTGTATTATATTTTTTTACGACAAAGTTTTACTTATATTTTTCATATTCATATTTTATTGAATGTGTTTCTATTTTTATTTTTGATTTGCAGACATTCAATGTTCAAGAGTCATTTAGTCCACAAGACATTACCGAGACAAGAGAGCATTGGGCGTCATTTGTTTGCGACACCACAAGCAGTACGGGTTGCTATTAACAAATATGGTTCTGTTTTGATGTCTAGAATGAATAGTGTTGATTTCATGTGAAACTTTGTACTTTTGACTTGCAAGAACCTTTGAAACTTTTGTAGTTTTTGCCGGCATGAACTTGTGAAACTTTACAGTTTTGGCTTGGATTGATTGGTGCTAGTACTAGGTGCAACACTGTATTTTGCTACAAATATCAATATATTTGCCATAATTCTCATTTAATGATTTCATTATATTGATACCATATATATAAAAAAATTATAGTATGCAGGGCTGATTTCATTATATTGATACCGTATATATTGGATAATATTGGATCTATTGGATATATGGGGTATGTATATGGTTTATGATGTTTTTACTTGGACTGTAATTTGCTGGTCTGATCTGGTCTGGTCTGGTTTCTTTGTATTTTTATAACTATCCAAGTCTGGTCTGGTTTGGTCTGATCCGGGAGGAATTACAGTCCAAGTAAAAACATCCTTAACCCATATAAAAAAGATTTTATATGGGGTATTATTGGACTGACACGGAAAACATTCGATAACGGTTAAATTTGATAATGGTTTAACCCATATAAAAAGGATTTTATATGGGGTATTACTGAACTGACACAGAAAATATTCGATAACGGTTAAATTTGTAACCGTCATAAAACACATTCTATAACGTGTACGACTACTCGACACGAAAAGTGCCCATCTTTTTAACCCATATAGAAAGTGATTTCTACACTAGTGTATTCACGGATGACTTCTTGGGACATGCAACTGAAAGTGATCGTCGCCCTCCTATCTCATACCCAGAAGTCCAAATTCAATACCGCGATTTGTCGGAAAGCCAATTTTATTTCCTCAGAAAATAGCCTGCCGACAGAAAATTTGAACACACAGCTCAAAATCTACAGGAAATCGCAAAAGAACAAAAGGCGTCATAGCATGACCACAAGGTCTCAATCTAGAGATTTCCCATGGGACTAGCTCTTTTATGTTGTTTACTCTCTTTTTTTTCTAAAAAAATAGAAATAAAAGTTTTGAAATAATTTTAGAAAAAAAATGTGGGTTACGTTATGCTCTTCACTATATGTCATAGAATTCGGCAAAGTGGTCTTATACCGCTCATTATATATAGATATTTTAAGAGAGCATATCTTGAGACCAAATTTAATATTAATCCACATTGTGAAACTTCACTTTACTTAACTCCCATGAATCTATTTTAAAATATTGATAGAATAGACGGTCTTGCAATTTTCTTATCTAATAAGTATTTATATATTGGTTGTCGTATACGGCATTTGGTTTAAACCTGGGTTGACCTTAAATTGGTCATTTATTCAAAAATCTTAAACTTCATGCAACACATGTTTAAATTATTCAAGTATAAATAGTATAGTATGATGAGAATTCTGCTATAGGCCAATATTATGGAAATACAATTTACACTGCGTTGGTATGGTCTCAAACTATCACCCAATAAGTATGATATCATTTTTGAAACTACTACTTCGCAGTGTTTGAGTAGATTCTTTGAGCTTACACTCGATGTCTGAGATTTTATCATAATTATTTATGTGCACAACTTGTTTATAAATATAATTTGTGCTTCCATTACTTTTTATCCTTACAGTATGATTAAATTTCTAACGTGTATGACTCTATCAAAAGTTAATATATGTCGGGCTCTATGCCACAAGTATATACATGCTTGAGGCATTATATCAACCCTAAGACAAAAATAATTTGTTTCTGAAACAATCATTTATAAAGTGACTTCTTATGCTCACATAAATAATAGGAATGACTCATCTAGAAATCTATATAGAGTCTAACGATTAGATAATGCTACTATTGAAGTAACATAAAAGTTATTAAATAATCAAATTTATTTAAGAACACTTAAAGACTTGTCTTGAAGTATTCACTTGAATGAGTTTCTTAAAATATACCTGAGCATATCATAACATATTGTCCGCTTTGGTACTTCAGGACCTCACAACTTTAAAACACGTCCACAAGTAAGGACTTCATGTTCACAACACGCACACTTGTACATCAAATTTATGTGACTTCTAGCACTTTGTTATAATTTCATATTTTCATTCCTGAAATTTTATTTGTTTTCTCCTTCTCTCGAGTAGATTAACTTGAACTAATCACTGTACATAATTGCATTAAATTGTAATTTTCTAAGGGCATTATTTGTGTATCCATAGCAATATTTAAATAATCATGTATTTTCTTAAAGTATATCACTAACTTGAATGTTTTATAAAACATTGGAGCTATACGAGTCACATCAACTTATCAATCAATATTCAACAATCAAGTTTATCATATAAATGTAATCATATTATGTTCCAAAATGACCAAATTATAAATATAGATATTTGGAACATTCCTCTAATCTCCAATGCATTTCTCTTAATGATTATATTAGCTCAAAGTAGCATGAATTAATTTGTGATAATAAAAATATGCATTTGAAAAGTAATGAAATTTTAATAAACTAATAAAGATTTCAATCAAGGATTGAATGACGGAAACATGAATCTAGGGTTTCCTAAAGACGTAAATAGAACCACATTTTAATTTGGACAAAAAAGAGAGCTATTTCAAATGAAAACCCAAAATTACCCCAACCCTTCACCCACGATCTATGCTGATCTCCATCTATGCGAAAAGCCCTCGCACATATCCCGTCTCTACGATTTGGCAAACCTCCATCTATGCCGATCAAGCCACCGAGTTTGAGCTTTGCCTCCGCCACATCACTGCCACCGCCGACTTCCACAACTTTGCCATTCGTCTTATTCTTCTTTCTCCTCTTCTTGGTCTCTTGGTATTGATGGACGGTCGGAAATCTTCACATATGACGACGACGACGCGAGCGACGGTGCGACGAGAGACGGTGAGGCGAGCTAGCGACATAGACGTGAGGCGAGCGACGACGTTGAGTAGATCGTCAGCGGCGAACTCGCGGCTAGGGGCGGGCTTGCGGTTGGGGCCTAGGGTTAGAAGTTGTGGGCTGGTGGGACAACTAGAATGAGCTAGGGGTTGAGGGCCCAACTACGGGGTCTGAGGTTGAGGCTGGGGGGCTGGAGTAGGTTGGGCGAGCGGAGTCTACTTTGAATGTGAGTGCCTAGGGTGGGCTGGTGGGATACGTGATGGGGTGGAGTGGTGGGGTTGGGGCAAAGCTGGGGCGTGGTGCAGGGGCAGGAGAGGTGGTGGTTGGGGGTTGCAAGACTGCGGAGGAGCTGGGACCAGGATTTGGATGGCTACCGGAAGTGCACCACCTGTTGCGGCCGATGTGGCATTCGTTTCATCGGCGTGGTCACAATCAAGGCAGTTGGCTACCGGCAAAAAAATTGGTGGCAACAGTGACAGGCGGTGATCACTAGCCGGTGAGGTCACTGACCCACATTTAACTATGGTGGGGGCAGGGGATAGGGCTGGTTGGTCAGAGGCAGAGCTAGTTGGGGTTGATAAGGGTTGGTTAGGCACCAGGGGCATTGGTGAGGCGGCCGTGACAATTGGGGGATGTCACTATTGGGTTGGTCACTCGGGTTGGGTTGGTCACTGAAATCGGGGTGGTCTAGGGCCGGATGTCACTGTAGTCGGGATGTCACTAGAGTTGGGTCCTAAGTGTTGGTATTTATGGCATTGGTAACTTGGTATATAGTCACTGTGTAATCGGTCACTGAAAATATAGTCATCATGACATAGGTCACTGTAACACATTGGTCACTGTAGCAGGTTTTGTTGGAGATATTTAATTGTGAATCAAGTTTGTCATAGATTAGCTTTATAATTAATCCTTGTATTTAATTAGTGCATGAATTAGATAGAAATTGGGCCAAGTGTTAGGCCCACATAATCAGGTTAAAAGCCTTGTACGCCTAACCTAAACCTCGCCTATAAAAAGGGAGCCGAGGGTTTAGGATTAGGTTAACGTCGTACTTATTCTTCATAGCCTTACGCACATACTTTTGTGTTGTATGAGTTCACGGTCTATCAAAGAGGGTTTTACATTGATTCAGTTTGTGTTCATCCTTACGTTTAATCCTCTCTGTTAGATTGTTATTCATTGCTGTTACAGAAACAGGGACTATCAATTGGTATCAGAGCCGATCGAGAGCCGATCAGAAGAACGCCTGTAGAAGACTCTATTTTTCTTTACGTTGTTCTTACTGTCGATATTTCACTCTGTAATTTTGTTTCTTGTTCAAAAGTTGTAAAAGTTACACCCTTAGAATCCTCTTTGCAAAGCGATCAAGGGGTATACTTCAGATTTTGTTTTACGCATATTCTGTATTCGAGATATCTCGAGTAGGCCTTGTCGACATCTTGATTTTTCACAGGTTCTGCTACGTTTTTCGAGCTGAAAACTTTACCTGAGGATCTCGACATTCTACTCTACAGACCGAAGGTAGGATTCTTCAGACCGAAGGTAGGATTCTTGTCTGCTTTAAAGTATTGCAGCTTCGGTGCGGTGAAGTGAGGATCAGTCCTGCGTCTTGGTATTGAAGCGTGCTCTTCCATGCAGTCATGTATGATCAGCCCGAGCCACCTTGCGTACGGGATGGTACCTGGCCTGTTCTTTTCTTTGGCTTTGACCAGGTCCATTAGCTCTGAGAAGAGGAGCTGTGCCAAGTCGTAGTTTTTGTTGAAGGCGATGCCATGAAAGACTAGCAGTATCTGCTTGTTGCACTTGTCGAAGCCAGCATGCTTAGGCGACACGCACTTGTTCACCAGCCTGAATAGATTTTTCCACGGATGGTGAAGATATGCTCCGTTGAAGTTGGAGAGCTGTGGCAGTAGTGAGGTGTAGCCTAGGGACGCCACGTCTTTCAGTAGATCTGGGATGGACGGCAGTGCATCGTACTCGTCATGAATCGGCAGCGATAGAGTAGTCCGTAGAGTGGATGGTGTCAGAATCACCCGCATGCCGTTCAACTTGGTCTTGATCTTGGAGCGATCCTTCAGTGAATCCGTGTGCATATGACCCCAGAACTGTTGTAGGTATATCTCTGGCACCGGTTTTGAGTTGTGAAGTGCAGGCCAGAGATAGTGACCTTTCATGATTACTGGCACTATGGGGTTCTGGCACTTGAACACCGCAAGGTCTAGCTGGAAATTGTTGTCCAGCACCTTGATCCATTTCCCTTTGGGGTAGATGGCATCATTGATCTGCGTTTGAGTGTTTCCTGCCATTTTAAACTTAAAGGGTTTCGGGAAAGAG